AGTCCTCGGTTAAAGATAAGATTACAGAGAAAATACTGTTACAGACGTAAATCAAAATAATCGTTCGATTGACTTCTTTAGAATTACAGAATACCGAAACTGTAGTTTCAATTAATGGCGTATCGAATTATTCTAGCACATTAAAAAACTAAATTTTATTAATTTTCAAATTACTCGAGTCAACATAATAAATTATAATAATTTCTTAAAAATCAACGTTCACGCGTAAAAGGATTGCCCACGAGTCAGAATTACTCTTATTATTTACAAATCACTCTGATATTACAAAATAACTTGAAATAATAGTCTGTACGTCGCAAATTAATAATAGTTTCAGCACATTTAGATTATTCGATGAATATCCGTATTGCATAAGAAAGGATTAATGTTCGCCAGATGACAATGCTCAACATCAACAAGCAAGTTTCCATCGAATGACGCAACAGCACACTCTATTAATTTTGCTTCCCAATTCAAGACGGAGCGCCTTTCTTTCTATTACGAGATCGCCTATCGCAAAAGGCATCAATCATTATTATTCCACGGACATTTTCGAAAGTACTTCGCAGAGATACCCTTGCTTTGTTCGAAGAAGCTCAAGAACGCTCACTATCTGAAATTGCTATTATATAACCCCAGTACGTTACATCTGAATTAGAAAAATAGCCGCAAAAGTTGCCGACAGCATCTTGCCCGTCGCGTATTACTCGTCACGCTAATCGTTTCTTCAAATCAAATTTTCTTCGGATTTTCGAGGTCTCCAGAGTCGTTTCATCACGCTATACAAGAGTCATATCAGTATTGTTACATTTACATAACAGAGAGAAGGGTTGCTTTGTTTTGAGTCCCTCTAATCATCTTTCCAGCTTTGCACGGTACACCGAATAAATAAATAAATGAGAATAATTACTATAGTACAATTCCATGCTTCGTTTGAAATCGAACGGAACCTCGTGATCACCTTCATCGAACGATCACGAACCTCGAAAAGGGTCGTTTTTTTTAAAGACCGGGAAGTGACGACACGCGATCCAGCGAGTCTGAACGAGAATAATCTCGGTGGAAACGAACGACGACAAATAATCGAAGCATCATGAATTCGATACGAGATCTGAAGAGGCTTCTGTACGAGAGAACGGAGGCTCTTCGTCGTCGCGACGAGATCATCGACTTGCTCGAGAAGGCGCTCGAGGAACGGGACGTTACCATTCGTTACCTTCAGAACGAGATCGACAAATTCCGGCAGATCGTCGATTTCAGTCTGACATCCGGTGCCATCGGACCTGGCCAAAGGGCCAAGAGGCAGGCCATCTCCGCGGAACCTCTACCCAAAGACGCCAAAGTAATCGTCAAGTTTCAGAAGTCGCAAAGGTACATCTTCGATCGGTTGCTTCGAGAACACAGTTTCAGAAAATATTGTGATCCATACGTGTTCTTATTATTCTTTATTGATAACCGCGAGTTTACATCCCTTATGCGTGTTTGAAAAGTAATCGTGTCAGAGAATAATTATAGTTGGCATGTAAACAAGCGATCTGTCGAATTCGAGGCCAATCGAAGAGATCAATGACTCGAGTATCGCCATAGCTATTATTAAGAGTGAAATTTGGTTCGTAGCTTACGCAATCTGGAATCATGGTTTCGCCCATACAAATTAGGTTGCTGACATATACATACGTGACGAAGAATCACGCTCGAACTGTTTCCAATGCAAATCACGCGACTTCGTTAACCCACTACGTGCTATTTCTTAATCGTTCTTCGGAACCTCCAAACTTTCGTATTATTTTTCCAACGATTCTCGAACCTCGTTAACATTTTAACAATTATTGTTTATCTTCGAACAAATTTTTTTCGTGTCCTCGTAAAACTTACTCGCGTTTTAATCAGCGTCGTTTCGCAAGAAGAAAAGATACTCTTGCCAATATATCAGCGAATTATAATATTCGCGGGCAGCACACACCGTGTAAATGTTTCTTCTCATTCTGGTAGGATTACATAAATATTTCATTGGACCGTACGTGGTATTAATTACGCGTCTCAGACGAAGATCCATGCTGTACGCTAATTTATCATCGTTTCTTTTGCGTTTCATAATTTTTCGCTGATTATTTAATTTCCGTAGTTTCGTGTTTGATAAATGATTCTGTATTAACCGCATGTTCGAAGATCCGGAAAACGTCTATCAACGGATCGTTTCATTATATAAATCGGTTACTGAATATTTTTGTATATTATAAATATCGTTGTTGTTACTTTGTTAGACTCGTTCGCACTCGACGAGAAGATTTCGTAACTCAGGCTTAATCGACGCTGACCACACTTGCTTGAAGTATAGCATGTGGTATCACAGAACGTACACATAGCAGGTGCAGCGCAATAAACGATGTTCGGCGCCTTTGATGTTTCTCTCTGCGAATAAACGCAAGCATTGCCTTCGGAATATCATCTGTACCGTAATGTTAAGAGTTTGGCGCGAGCTGCTGACGCGAAAATTACTATAAACGATTCGTCGGTTGGTACGATTATTATTATTTATTCGTGGAATATTAAATAGTCAGCCTTAAATGTTTGAAAAGAATCATATTATTGACATACGCTTCATAGGGGATGCTGTACCCCACAATAATATTCTAGGGTTAACATCAAATATTATAGGGTATATATGTAGGATACATTGTACTGAGTAAAAAAGCTTTATTAAACATAAGTGGAAAGGTGAACCGTTTCTGAGATATAAACATTTTTGTTTGTTATTATCATAATTGACTTACTACTGAATTTTCGATGTTTGCAGAAGATTTTCCATATGTCCACCTTCCATTTCTACACACGCTTGGCATCTTCTTTTTACAGAATCGCGAACTCTTTCGAAAATTCCGCATTTCTTTCGAATTGTTTGACAAGAATGGTAGATTCGGTTACGTAATTCTTCCAAGTAAGTCATTTATCGGAGAGGAATACACTAGGCTTTTTAAATGTCCCCATAAGAAGAAGTCCAAAGGGTTTAAATCGGGGGATCGAGGAGGCCATGCAACTGGTCCACCACGTCCAATCCACCTTTAACCGAACACCATGTTTAAACGGTCTCTCACATTACGCAGAAAATGAAGTGGCGCCCAATCATGCATGTATCACATCGATAATTTTTCTGCCAAAGGCATATCATCCAAGTACTGTGGTAATGTATTCACCAAGAAGTTGAAATAAGCAACTAAGTCAATCATGATACTAGCAAACAAAAATGTTTATATCTCAAAAACGGTTGACCTTTCTACCTATGTTTATTAAAGCTTTTTTACTCAGTACAGTGTATTCTATACATATACCATATAAATATTCAATGGTTTTTTTGAACACCCTGTATATTGCATACGAATACATAAATGAAATATTTCACGACGTTTCTAAAGTCAGTTGTTTCACAAACATGGCTGTCTTTGACAGAAATTTTGCAACATGTTTCATTCACCGACCAAAAATATTTTAATGTATATTAGATAGTTATAGACAGTACTGTCTTATTATATTTTTGTATAAATGTTATTATTTGTACCCAACAGTGTAAACGGATATAAAAGTTTGATATTGCGCGAAGGAGAAATGTGGTTGGAACTTTCGATTTACAAGTGCGTCGTTAACATAAAGCGTGAAAACTATTACATACTTAGCAAGTCCACGAGCCTCCGGAATATGTAATCATTTTCGAACGAATGCGTGATTTCTTTCCGATCGTAAAATTTTGCAATTCCTGGCCATCCTGTTTTTAAGAAGTCATATTCGCAGGCTATTCCATCACGTTTACTTGATTTTTTCTAAACGCATTTATATTCTAAAAATTGTTCTTCATTTCTTAATTTGAATTACGAAATTTTCAACGTTATTTACATAATTCAGTTTCTCCGCGAGTTGTAAATATGTATATAAGAATTATTGGAAAATTAATGCGCAGAATACGTTTAAATTGGTATCTTTAAACTATCGATTAATTTGCTAATTTATTTAGCTATTCTATGGATACGTTTACAAGGGACACCCGAAACTATAAATCGCGCACGAATGTATGCGCATCGTTCATCATACCTGTGTAGAATTAGAAAAGCGAGAAAGTTGTTGGCAGATTTACAAGTCACAAAAATTGTAAGCAACAGGCATTTTGACTTAACGAGTCAAAAGCAATTTACTTTCCACTTTCGTTTCAAACGTTGAAATCTCAAGTTCATAGACCTCGAGAAACTTCTGAGTTTTATATTATACTTTTCATTTCGTTTCCAGTGTTTTATTAGCGTGGAAATTATCATTTTAACCCATCTGAGAAGGATTTATTTCTAATGCATAAAAATTCAAACTCGATATTGGCTCGTGTTGCTTTCTTATACTGTTGGAAGATTTATTTACGAATATTTGCTCCCTTTTTTCGTAGTCACGTTCTAAAGATTAAAATAGTTCGATATAGCGAGAAAGATTACGATCGAACATTCCAGAACGCTATCGGCAATGATAAGTTTTGATACAATAATATTTCTATATTTTCCTTGGTTCACGAGGAAACGTAATTTTCAGTTTTTCATTTTATTTATTGTACCTTTTGAGTAACTGTGGGGTCTGTTAATTAATTTTATATACTAATAACATTTTATGCGTTATTAAGTTACAAAATACGTACGGTAAATGCCAATAGACGTTTAAACGAATATGTTTAATAAATACAACTACGGAATTTCCGCACATGAGGTATGTTGAGCGAATTTCAGCAACGAAAAGGTTAAATTATTCGTTTTGCCATGTTCTTCGTTGAATTATTATTCGAAGAGTAATTTAACATATCGAATACGAAATAATTTTACATAATACTTGGATGACGTGCGAGTAAAATAATTTCGTAGAAATAATTAATTTGCTTATTATCGTTGCCACAAAGTACACATAATCCAACTATTAAAGCCTTATCGTGGGAATGAGCGGTGTACTAAAAATTCTATTTTGTCGTTACGTTAAAGGTGCCGTGAGCTGATCAAAGCTACCATTTTGAGCAATGACTTTATGAAGAACTTGGAGCTGACGCAAATCCGGGAGATCGTTGACTGCATGTATCCTGTCACGTTCTCGGCCGGTTCGACTATCATACGCGAAGGAGATGTTGGGTCTATCGTGTACGTTTTGGAGGGTAAGTTTTACTCTATACTAGTCATTACTATAACTGTTCTGAAATATATTGAAAATATGTAAACGAAGTTTTTAACTGAATTCCCAACAAATTGTGTCATGAATGCTTCTGCTGTGAAAGCACGTATGAAGATATCACATATTTTATAGTGGACGTCCCCGATAACCCCAGGCTTTATTAATAAAGTGTAATATAAACTTTGACCGAGTAGAAAAATTATCAAAATCGGTACACGCAAAATTTCCAGGATTATTGATAAAAAAGAGAGTGAAATTTTGTCATTCGTACTTTATTCTACTTACGAGTTACTGTCTCCGTTCGATTAATTTTGTATATAGTATTTCAACAGTAAGAACAACGTACTAAGAACAATATTGAATAATATTTCAATACTGACAATCAAGAAACTTTCCTAGCGAAAGTATAATGACTTTGTCGAAGAAGATGTTATTGAACGACATGAAGATTATGGTTTTTTATATTTCAAATATTCTTTTGAATTCTGTTACCAAAATTTACGTGTCTTGGTAAGATCGCAGATTCGAGTCAGTTCGACGTCAGCTTCATTAGTTGGAACAGCACGCGAGTATACTTTTCTAAGCAACCGAGTTATAAATGGTATAGCTAGTCAGACTTTAATAGGCACATTGAGCGCATGGGCGGAAAATCGTCTCGATCAAAGGAGCTCTGAGTGGCAGAATTGCAATGGGCTTTAATCTCGGTCGCGGTGTGTAATTGCAGTTGATTCGCCAACCGTGCACGAAGGTCGACCATTGTTTAGTCCAACTGCACACGCGCGTACGCAGGTTGCACCGTTACGCCCTTCTGCGCCCGCGAATCTAAAATTTCGTGCGGATAACGTCTGGCTTTTCGCGTGACACGCGCAAGAATATTTGCGTGTACTTATTTAACCGGTGCCCCGGTTACAATTACACTGCCCGACTGCGCGAAACCGGCACAGACTTCCTGTTAGTGTCACGAAAACGCATTAGTTCGCAACGATAGGTTTCCTGGAATGGCAGAAATTCGAGACAGTTTCCCTTCTGCGATCGAATATCCGTGAGACTCCTGTCGTTAAGGACGGTTACAAAAATTTGTTGATTTGGAGGAACACGAAAGTAATTTATTTTCGTTGTTTCGAGTCTTCTTCGAACGATTGAAACTAAAATAAGAAAAATTAGAGACTGATCCAAACTTTTGAACAACGGTGTACATTGTTGTTACGGTCGTAAAAGAGGGATTTAAAAAAAAGAAATTCGGTGAACGGGACTGAAACAGGCGGCCTCGAGCGCACGAACCGCTCTTTTATGGCGTCTGCGACACCACACCGACTACTTCGATGACAAAGATTGATATTTATACTTTGTACGATACACGTAACTTCAATTATATAATCATATATTTCTGTCTCTAAAATTATAGTCATTACGCCTACTGTTTTATACATAGCAACAAGAACCTGTAATCCACCATCCTATAAATGTAGCTTTCAATTAGAGGGAGACAGGTCGAGTGCTTCACTTATTAGATATTTTCCAACTACAAAATCAAATAAAAACAGTAGATAATCGAGGAACAGGGTTATACACGATTAAAAATATTTTGTATATTAATTTGTTCACGATTTTATTTTTTATTAAATTCATTAACAAGAATCTTTATTGTGTTTGTAAACGTTAATAAATTAGAATCGAGTGAAAAGAAGAAATTATATAGCAAGGTATAGCCATATGCTATTGTTAACCTACCCTTGATGAACTCTAACGCTTGCCAGAGACTTCAATGCGTGATACGTACGATGAAGTGACGGTAACAGATGCTGAACACTTTTTCATACATTAAGCGTACATATTCGTTGAACGCACACAGTAATACGTCTATAAAAGATAGTATTTTCTAAAAGGTCACATTCTTGTATGGAAATCAGATAATCCATTTCCAACGGTTCCCGTCTTGGTAGTTATACATAAATTATTATTGAAAAATATACACTCTATGATAAGAATTTCGAAGTATTTGGTTAGGTTTACTCGACACACGTTTATTACAACCCTGTACACATGCTTTCGTGTCCTTATAACGTGCACGGATCACCTTGGAAAAGGATTGAAAAAGCAACATGTATTTATTTACGTTATGCTCCGAGTAATAATAAAAATATGAAATAACCGGATGCACGTCTCATGTACGGCGTATACAGTACGTATGGAACCTGGCATTATCACCTGAAATATAATATTTAGGTTAACATCTCGTCTCTTTTTCAGATCAAAATTAAACGCTAGTAGTTTTTGAATAACTACGGTAAACAGTAGGTATAGACTATTGTCCAACTTCGTTTGGCAATACGAGAAATTTTCTTGTACAATCTTTTGACTCTATTTCAGTTAAAAGATCAGAATCGAGTGCTGACTCCTTTGTTGTCATTTATTAAATTCTGTTTCAATACAAAAATGTTTACTTTGTTCAGAACTGTATTTTAGAAAATGTTGCGTTAGTATAAAAATGAATGAAGTACAGACGGAACGATGACACTGATGAGGACATTTACCTTATTACAAGCATAAATGGACATGACACGTAAGTAATTGACGAATGAATAATTCAGTAAAAGACGAAGTAAATACCGTACACTATACTCTTTCGATAATTACCCAATGAATATACAATTTTCAAGAAATTACACTTCTCCATATTGAAACAGAACTTAATAAGTGAAAACGTAGGAATATTTTCCACGATATAAAGTGGTTGCATAATGATAAAAAATTCACGTTGGGTTGCATGGGAAATTATCTTCAGTAATTTCCCCGTGAATGTTTCGTATCTTTCTGTTTCGCATAACCATAAATATCCTTGAATAATGTTATCATTTTACAACTTGGAAAACCATAAATTCGATCTTACAACGGTCGGCACATAAATATGTATATTCTGCATTTAAGTTTAAAATTCCAATTCAACTATTAATTTCTTTAATTGCATTGCCCGAGTTTCTCCTTTAAATCACAAGTCCTGTGTTTAATTAATTTTTAGAAAATCGACTGCATTGATTTTTAACGATTACTTTCTCGTTTTTCGTGAGCATTTTAAATTAGTTTTGACAAGTATTTACGTCACGTTTCTACAATGAAACAAGTTTATTAGACCGGTTGTTAATAATACATGCCAATTCCCGTTTAAATTTGAATGTTTTCGCGCAAGGTTTTCAAAATGATTCACACAAAGGTTTCACATGTAACGATTAAACCAACTTTGTACGAATCGCGTCATACCTTGCATCATCGTGTCGCGTAACAATTACGCAAATGATTTGCGAATTCAAGGGAACAGGAAGAAATTTATCGTGATAAAAATTTGTATGGAAGTAAGTAAAACGTCATACACGCAGACGATATTAATGTTTGCTTTTGCATAATTACACGCGCCTCGTATTTCGTCTACATTGCACAACAAAAGTCTCATTATTTGTTCTCGTATCAGTGCTATTTAAAATTGTAAAAATTGATTCGATAACGAAGTCATAATCAGATCTGTCTTTTAATAAAACTGTTAGTTTAGTATCAACGCATCCGTAACTACCATTATCTAATAACGAAATGAGAACCGCTGTCCTTTCTCTCGGAAGTTCGCGAACTATAATGGCATAGCAATTAACGCATCGATTCAATGTATTTGTAGGTAAATACATTTCATATGTGAAATTTTTCTATTGTGTGCAAATAAGAAACTATAAAATATAATATTTTTATATAGTCGATGGTTTCTTAATCGTATCGCGTGATGTAATATTATTACATATATTATAATAATATTTTGCAACGAAGAAACATAAATAAATGATTTAGGTACCGCTTTAATTATAACCTGTGCTATCTAGGCACAAATTAAATATTAATTAAATATTACAAAATGAAATCAAAGATTTATTGTTCTGTATAATTAGAAACAGAGGACAAATTAGACCCAGACCTGACAATGAGATTCAACAGGGGTCTAGGTTATAAATGAACGCGATAATAGTGCGAAAATAAAAACGCTGAAAGATCTTATCAGGCGGAATTAATTGTGAAAGGAATTGGAATGAAAGTATGAAATAACGAGGTTACGACGCACCGTATTAAACACCAACAACAGCCATCTAAATAAAAGTACACGGTGATATTGTGTCCTAACCTTGTAATTTTCATACAATTACATTCATACTTTAATTTTACAAGTCGCTGTTACTGAAAGCATACATGTAGTACATATAATTAATCCACGATAAAAACGAGAACATTGCAGCGAACGTATATAAGATTTACACTGTCAAACCTGCTTTTCAAGTACATATGCAATATGCAAAACTAATAAAAACTGAATTAACACAATCTTATTATTTAATATTTTAAGGTGGTCCAAATAAACTGTTATAAGTTATTTTCTCAAAAACCAATGAAAATATCTACTTTGTTTCTTTTAAAATTAAATGGTCCAGGGGTGAGGGGGTAATTTTTTATATGCAATTTTTTAGACCCCTAAATTCATTCAAAGTACAGAAATATGTTTTTTTTTAAATCGTAAGGTTCTCAAAGGGTTAGGACATTTATTCTATACTAATAATTTTAAAATCATCCAACGATGCTTCTCTATTGCGATCAACCAAATACTATCGACGAAAGTTTTGCTGATAATATTTACAAAATAATTCTGAAAGTATCTCCCTTACCTAATGCCAAGGAAAAGAGAATTAAAACAAGAGCAAGAAAATGTGAAAGTAAATAAATAAATAATTGACCAAGGAGAAAGGGAACAAAAAAAGAATGAAAGAACAAACAAAAAATTCGGAAAATAAGCGTAAGAAAACCAGAACATTCAAACTACGAGAATCAAAGTTGGTAACCATTTGCATGGTTTGTTTAGAAAGTAACGAAGAAGACTGGATTCAGTGTTGTAGCTGTGAAAAATGGGCACACAAAGCTTATGTCGATATCCCTGAATGTGCAGATAACTATGTT